AAGAAAATTTTTCCAAATAATTTTATTTTAATAAAAAACTTATGAAACTTTAACAAAAACTGCAGGTCTGTCTGTCTGGTGAAGTTTTGGTTAAAATGTTTTTCATTCAGTTGGTAGAAAATCCAGAAATTTTACTCAAGTAAGATTACACATACTTCATAATAAAATTACTAAAGTAAAAGTAAAAATGGCGTAGTAAAAATACTCCTAAAATTAAATTTTTTCAAAAAAGTTACTCCAGTAGATGAGTAACTGGTTACAACCCGCCGCTGCGCAGAAGAAAACCGGTTGTTCACCAACATTTCATTTTAAAAGCATTGAAGACGTGACACTCAAAGAAAGCAGCAGACGAAATGTGATCACCACATCCACCAGCCGGCAAAGGATTTTTGCTTGACATGTTGATAAATTTCGTCACATGTGGAGCGCAGCGCTCAGCACATGTGCATCCCTGCCACAGATCCAACCCCATTCTTTCTAACTTTCCTGTTAATCATCTTTACTTGAGTTTCATTCTCCTGTAAACAGTTTGTGCGCCATGAGCTCCAAACTGAGCGAATGTTACCTCTGGTTTTCCTGTCATATTGTGGCTGTTTCATCTGCTCATCACCCTTTGCACCGTCGCTCATTTCCTTACTGAGGTTATTAAAAGTTATCAAAGACTCGCTCTGTCGGTGTGAGGAAACTTCCTCTAAACGGCGCCAGACGTGCTGTAAAATGTTAAGGACTCGCATAAATGTTGATTGCTTTTCTCAAGCGAGACTCATTTAGCCTTTTAATGGGTTTTATTGTGTTGAATCTGTTCAGGTCTTATGTCTTTGTTTTTCTTCTTGTATTTTTTATGTGCTACACTTTGTTTCAATGAAAGGAAAGAAGGAATAAAAAGGGATTTTTCTGTCAATATGTAGCAGGGGTTGCTGGCTTCAGAAAGTTGGTGGGAAGATGAGGAAAAAAATGCAATTATTTTTGTGATTATTCTAATTATAATCACAATTTTTTTGTGATTATAATTAGAAAAAAATATAAAAATAGTTGCAACTTGAAATCTGTGACCCCACTGTGCGAGATGGATGTAATAATTATTGAATTTCGACTAAAAATCATTCTAAAAGTTGATGTTTCTTTATATATTTTGCAGCATTGAGTTGTCACAGTTAGAGGTTGATGTTTTTTGTGAACCGCAGAACTAAAAAACCATTAAGTCGTCCTAACAGTATTCAGCTTGGCCGTCGGTAAAAGCTCTGCTAACAGGTTGTAATGCGAGAGGCGTGACCTGCTGTCGCCCCAACAGGAAACCCAACTCCTGTGGGTAACGTTAACCAGCATACCACCGGGAGTGGACTGGACTGCGAACAGAACCAGACCATTCCTCTATTAATCTGATTAGATGAAGGAGCAGAAAGAAAGAAAGGAAGAAAGTGGTGGAGAAAAGTAATTAGCAAATAGAAAAACAGGAAGAAGTAAAGAAAAACATATCAAATATCTGGGAAGAGGGGAGAAAACTATAAGCTAATAAAAAAGGATCAATAAAACAGAGAAATGAGAACATGAATTAATACTAAAGCAGCTTCATTGGATTTGATGTTGCAGGTTTTATGAGGATAAATCAGTGTTGTAATACTCGAGATCGGTCTCGGTCTCGACTCGACCGCATTTGGTCTCGGTTTGTCTCGGACTCGTCCGCTGAAGACTCGGCATTTTATTTTAAGACCAGTCGAGACCGCAACTGTGAAAATATCACTAAACGTACAGCATACTGTCCAGTTTATTTTTATTTTAGGGATGGCATCAGACCACCACGGATCGTAGCACAGAGATAGATGCATAGCAGGACCACGAGTTTGTTCTGCTTTAGATATTATTAAGTATTTAATATCTAGGTGTCTTTATGGGAATATGGATCTTTCAGGTCAATTTGAGAAGTAATTTTGATC